AATCATATACAAATAATGTAGCCGCAGATCAAAATGATGGAAACATTGTAAACTGTTCTTACGGAACTAACTGTGAAACCCCACAGCGTGTTTGAAATTTTACGACAGTTTTGCATAATCATATGAAATTCGCTAAGAAAACTGTCGTCGCTGAAATTCGGCTACAGCCGTTCTCGGTGCATGATCTCTGCAGTAACTCGATCATGTGGTTAGGAAACGTGAATAGCAAGCGAACTGCGTGACTTTAATAACGGTTTTACAGAGGGCCGAAGGCGAGGGACACTCGAGAGCAAAAAGTCGCGTTTCGGGTCCTCGTTTTAACCTCAGTCGCCCCGCAGACGTTGCATACGTGCCGCCATCGCGTGTACGACACGGCACGACTGGACTGACACTAAACGACGCCGTTGCCAATATTCGATCCGAACGAAACTGTTTCTTCACTGGCGGTGGCCGCGGTGCGGTCTCTTTCGCTGAGGCAACACAGAGGCAGGACACTGTTGTTTCGCCGTTTTCATAATAAAATTGTCTAGGGTAAAAACTGAATCTGACTTTCGTGACTGTCAGCCGCGAACGTCGCTCACAGAGGACGAAGCAACAGAGCTGGGGCTGTTTCCCGCAATCAATATCAACGTCGCATCCTCACAACGTTCACTCAACTGCTACAGTGACAGGGAGAGCACGTGATGCCGTCTAAACACGACTTGAAGAATCAGCGGCACGGTGGCTGGCGCTAGGGTTTCGCGATCTGGTGATTCGTGACATTTCACCTCTCTAACTGATCCGGGTCCGTCCAGTTGAGGTTACTCCTCGGCAGCGTACAAGAAACCGGGATCATTGGCAACGCGAATAACGTTAGGAGAAAAAGTAGGTTCGTAACCGTCGTGTAGTCGGTTTCTGGAATGGTGCTCCTAACTGTGGCATTCAATTTTCAAGGAGCTTAAGTAGCGGCGTTGATTTGCATCATTAATTTCATCCACCAGGACAGGAGAGGAGCATTTAATCGATGGAGCGTCAGATGCATATCGCAGAGTTTCTGAATTGCAGTTCTGGTCGAATCACTCACGCGTTTCTTCCGTCCAACGTGGGACCGGATTGTAATGGGCGGGGCGAGGAATCGCGCCAGCTGCAGCATGCCCGCCATTCCCGCCGGATTCAAGATTTTTCCCTCCAAGCACGGCCTTCCCGGCTTCTGATATGAACTTCTCCATCACTGTGGTGGACAACCACGACGCCTGTTCTGCCAGCGAGGATATCAGTCAACAATCAGTGCCCACCATCTCCCAACGGGTAGCCGAGCTTCATGCCCCGCAAACCGAAGCTTCTTTGTGCTTTCGACCACGACCTCGTCCACTGCCGTCCGTTCTGTAGTCATCGTGCGTCTTGGAGATGTGGTCGCAACGTGAGATTCGCTCGATGACTCTCGCGGAGGTAGATAACTGGTGCTCTTTCACTTTAGTGAGTGACCAAGTCGCACAGTCATACAACATTGCTATCAGGACGGTAGATCTGGAGAGGATGGCGCAGGTTTCGTTTTCGATGTTGCCGAGGAGGACGTCCTTGATCGAATAGAACTCGCATCAGTCGGCCCTCTTTCTGCATTAAATTTGCATTACACTCTTAAAAGTGATAACGAAGCACATCTGACTGATGATATGACGCCTTATCATAAGCTCCACGAAAACGGTGTTCTACAAATGGCGCTCCCTGGTGAATATATCAGACTGATATCCCAGCCGTTACAGGCTTTCGTTGCTTCGATCATTGAGAATTATCACTTTCTTCGGGCATCTCAGCTTCCAAACCATTACAGCGTCTAGTCTCCTTTTGCTCTGCCATTCGTTCGCCGAAGTGGCACGGATAAC